TCAAGCAAGGCCCAACAGACTTAGCCATTAACGAAAAACAACAAGCTCCTTTTAGATGCAGGCAGCTTATTACTTACACAGTGAAAACATCGTAGTCAAAGGTGCCAAGTCCCCATGGCCTCTGGGTAGGGTGACACCAAAGTAAAAGGAACCAGATGCAACAGGATTAACGGGACACTGCTGCTGAGGTGCTAACGCCAGGCTGCTGCTAAGAAATTTTATAGCCTACAGCTGTGCCCTAAGCGGGGCAAGATAGAAAGTCTCAAGTCTCCAAGGAACCAGGGAGGCAGATGGGAAAATTGCCTCAAGACATCCTTCTGCAAAATAGGGAGCTTCCCTCAAGAAGAAAAGGCCGATGAGAAAATGTTCTTGTGACGGCTCCTCACAAGACTTGACTGTCTGACCACGTTCCTAGGAAGATAACAAGGCATTGCACCAAGACTTAGGCCAGGAGGTTCAAGCTCTGACTGCATGGCCTACGGGGATACGTACAAGGTCACCAGAACACCATGGAGTGGAGCCATGGCCCTACAGACACAACATACTGCTACTTTTAAAAGGGAATATTCAGAGAATTAAAAAATCTTTTGGATATTAAAAATATGATAGGAGAAAAAAATCATTGGAAGAACTGGAAGAGAATATTAAGAAAATATATAAGAAAGCAGAAGAAAAAGATGGAAAAGAGTGAGAAATAAGAAATTTTAAAATTAGGCCTAGATATCCACATCTTAATAAAAGGAGTTCTAGAAATAGAGATTAGAAAAAATTAGAGGGAAGGAACTTATCCAAGAAGTAATATTAAAAATCTTCCCAGAGCTCAATGATGTGAATTTCCCTTTTAAAAGAGTCCATCAATGATGAACTCAAGGATGAAAAAAAAGATCCATCCTTTAACACATCATCAAGAAATTTCAGAATATTAGGAGTAAAGATAAGATACTAACAGCTTCCAAAGAGAAACAAACAGGACACACATAAGTATGAAGAATCAAAATGACAAATGACTTCTCAATAGCTTCAGTGGAAGTTAAAAGGCACTGGTGTAATGCTGTAAAATTGAAAAGGACAATGATTTCCAGCCTAATGTCAACACTCACATAATGTTTCAATTGAACATATGGATAGAATTGAGCCATGTCGAGTCACACCAATGAATCAAAACTATTTATTCTTTATGCAGTTTTTCACAGGAAGCTGTTGGAAGAGGTACACCACCAAAATGAGGGAATAAACGAAAAGAGGAAGACAGGATTCAGGAAATGGGATATCCAGCATGAAAGAGGTAAAGAGCAACCAATCCAGATTAGCATAGGACAGAGAGCCCCAGGAGAAATGTCTTTAAAGAAAGAAAAAAACAAAGCTAGATTACATGATGTGTTTGAACCTACTAAGAAACTGAAACTCCTGGAAGGTAGCTAGGGTACAATTTAACTGCTACTACAGAGAACACTGAGCAAATGAAAGAATAAGGTCATTATAAATTAATTCCAAACGGCTTAAAACAAAAATTGGAACAAAAAAGGAAATCTAATTACAGATACCACACAACCCAGTTGTGAATAACATTTACACAGTCAAAAGAGTATAAATATTGAATGCTAATTGAACCAAAACTGTGATGTAACTGCACTAAATTGGGAGGATGAGAGGAAGCTACATTTTTAGGGAACAGGGAGAAGGAATAGAGCTTAATTTTCATATTCCAAAATAGATCAATAAATAAAATCTAAGACTGAAATATCAAGGAATAGCAAAAAATCATGTTACTCAGAAATACAAAGGTAAAATTTTAAGAAGGCTAAAAGATTTGAAAGTGGTTACCTCTCAGTAGCAAGAGCTGGTGTAAAAAGAATAGGGAAGGCAGTACTGTTTTTCATTATAATAAGCCTTGGAAAAAAATTTTTTGACTTAAAACTATCTACATATTTTGAAATAAATAAATAAAGCAATAAGTTAAAGATAGCAACCTAAGTTTATAGGCCAAAGTGAATAATTCTAGACAATACTTACCAAGTGACCCTGACAATAAAGACTAATAGGTAGGACTTCCCTGGTGGCACAGTGGTTAAGAACCTGCCTGCCAATGCAGGGGACATGGGTTCAATCCCTGGTCCAGGAAGATCCCACATGCCACGGAGCAACTAAGCCCGTGTGCCACAACTATTGAGCCCATGCACCACAACTACTGAAGCCTGCACACCTAGAGCCCATGCTCCACAACAAGAGAAGCCACCGCAATGAGAAGCCCACGCACCACAATGAAGAGTAGCCCCCGCTTGCCACAACTAGAGAAAGCCCGCGGGCAGCAACGATAAATAAGTAAATAAATAAATAAATAGTGAAAAAAATAGGTAAAAGAAAAAAAAACTGGATTATTGTTCATATCTAGCAACCCTATGGGACAAAGAAAGATTAGACTGTTTCATTTTGAATAGGGGGAAGAGGAGGGGAAGCCCTAAAAAATACTTGAACTCAAAAGAGTTCCCTAAGTTTTACAAATTTTATGGTATTTTCTACTGGAATCACAGGATGTTACAGCAGAAAGAAACCTTATATATTTGCTAATGATTCATCTCTCCTATTTTATAGTTACTTGTCCAAAGTTACACAGCTGGTTTGGGCAGAATCAGAACCCTCTGTTAACTCTCACACTCTTGTCATTTTATCATAATGCATTTTAAAATAATAATTAAGTATCAAGGAAATTGAGTTCCTACTGATATATTCATTAGCACTTTTCTTTTTATTTAAAAAGGGAGACTACTTGAAAATAAAAAATGTAAAAATATCTATTAGTTTTAAGTTAAAGCATATTGGTCTTTTACTTTTAAATAATTAGACATTATACAATAAAGGAAAAGTATCTATAACCAAACTCTCTTTTCCTACTTTTTATGATGAAATGGAACCGAGAATTTTTAAAACTTTCAGGCTGCCATCTATATTTTGCTTAAATTGTGGGTTCACTCCTGCTTTATCTACCTGGAAAATGGCATTGAAAACACATATTTTATTGCAATTTGTATTACTATTCAAATGACTCAGAACACCTTTATTCAGATAGCTAATCATGCCCTAGGATCTAACGATTTGCTGAAAGTAGGTTTTGACAACAAGATTTACTAGGAAAAGATATACTGCCCTATAGTTTTAAGGAACTGATGGTGTTCAACCAAAGGACTTGAGAGTGTTAGGTGATTTTCATAATTATTATGCTACACACTGGTAACCTAGTGATAGGTTTTTAGGATATACCTTGAGTCTCTGAATTAATAGGAACATCAAAAAGCGGGCCAAGGCCTATTGCAGAGGACCCATTATTACCAGTTGCCACCTATCATTCAAGTCTTGGGTCAAGTTCCTAGTCAAATATCAGAATTACCTGACTTTGGATGGAAAGTTAGGCTGCCCATTTTTTTTCCTCTTAATCACTAATTAAACATGGCCTAAAATTTTTCTTTACCTTGGCAAAAGGGAAGAATTAGGCATAAAACGAAGCAGGGCTCATCTGTTTATTCATCAGTCTATTCCATGCTAAAATCTATACCACAACATTCCTACACCATAACAGTTTAAGATTCTGAACAAGACTAAACACCTGTGAGGTAGTCAATAAATACCTGTGAGCTGATGATTTAAATGACAGCATCAGATCAATATATGATATTTTCCCATATCTAAAATAACCTTTCCCATATCTAAAATAACCTTTCCCATTTCTAAAATAACCTTATTCCTGTTCTCTAAAGCCATTCATTTGCAAAAACCTCTCGTCTTTCAACATTACAAAAAAAAAAGTGAGATAGTTGATTTTCCAAGGTAAGAATCCAAGCAGCCTCTGATTTGTTCAGTTCATTCTACCTCAAACGCTCCCACTCTAGTCAAATGTCCTCTAAACAATTCTGCACAGTGAATACAGCAGACACACAATGCTTCATGAAGGTGGTGACTTTAATCAGCTACAAAGCACTCAGACCTTTTTCTACTCCTATGTTTGATCACACAAAAGTCATCTACTGCATCTTATAATTAATAAGCAGCAATAAAGTTTATTCTGCACTACTTTGTTATTATTTTAACTTTTAAGTTGAAATAGAAACTGATTTTTTCATTTTGAAGCAGTAACTATGAGAACTATTTAAATCATATCCATGTTTATCAGCCTAAGAGAAGCATTTCAAATGATATAGGCCTCTGTCCTTCATTAGAAAGATTCCACAAGAAAAAAAAATGACAGGATTATTTAAAGGCATGTTCAGGAACAACAAAAATGAATTTATTAACTGCAACTCCAGTGTTTCATAAATACTATTTTCATAAGAAACCCTCTAAAATTTACATCTAATTAAGCCAGCTAGTAAGACACAATCCCTGTAAGTTTTGTGTATAAGGAAAATCCTCATACAACATTAACAGAACATGGCTTATAAATAAAATATACTGTTTTTGTTAGCAAATATAAAAACAACAGTTCCAGATTTATCTTTTAGAAAAAAAATTAATTTATTTTAAGAGTCTCCGCCTAAATTCATTTTGGTATCAAACAACTACAATTAGTGATGGGGCAAGCATCCATAATTGTGGCAGGATGTTATTTACAAAAACTATACAAAATTAGATTAATTATTACATCAACTTATCAAAGCTTCCTGAAATTAGTTTCATTTTTGGAAATGTATCAAAAGTCCTCAGATCCAGAATGATAGTCTTTATTATTTTTAATTCATTAATTTAAAATTATTTTAATTATAGCACATCAGATCTTCAAGCAAAAACATCGGATGAAAGGCTGTACGATAAAATACTCTCCTTTTCCTAATAGCTCGGAATGTAAATTAAAATGTGTTCCCTTCTTCTTTTTTTTTTTTTTTTTGCGGTACGCGGGCCTCTCACTGTTGTGGCCTCTCCCGTTGCGGAGCACAGGCTCCGGACGCGCAGGCTCAGCGGCCATGGCTCACGTGCCCAGCCGCTCCACGGCATGTGGGATCTTCCCGGACCGGGGAACGAACCCGTGTCACCTGCATCGGCAGGCGGACTCTCAACCACTGCGCCACCGGGGAAGCCCTTCCCTTTTTATTGAAGGAAAAAAAATGAACTAAGCGTCCAGTAATATCAAATACCTGTTAGAATAACTTGTCTGCTGGAATTAAAGTTGGGCAATTACTTCTACATTGTTAAAAAATGCTTTAAATTAAGTCCTTTTTCTCTTTTATAAAGAAAGCTTTTCTCAGCCATTTTGGATCTCTAAGTCTTGTAACAAAAATGTCACTCAGTTTTTACTAGCAAGTCCACACCCATAGAAGGCATCTTCAATGCAGTACATATTTTAAAAGTGCATATAAGCATAACTAAATTTCTTAAATTGTTAACAAACCTAGGAGCAATAATTTAATATTCTATCGCAAAATACAGGTAGCCTAAAGGCAACATGCTTGGTCAATCTTTCATAAACTTTTTGGTTTGATGTCAAAACATTTCAAAATAAAGAAAAAAATACCATGACTCTTTGCTAATGGCTTTTCTGGTATTAATTTGCAGATATAGCTAAATACTCATCTAACAAAGTATCCCGGTTACCCAATGATATTTGCCATGAATTCAGAAAACAATAACATGTATAATACAAAAGTAACAACAACAACAAAAACATGTATTTTAGGCCTAAAATGAGTTTATCTAATAAGAGTTACATGAGAAATATCATGTAAGACCCCAAATAAACTTTAGATACAAAATTATATGATGTGGCTTTGTTCAAACACATCTAATATTCAGATACAATTTAAATAAACTAGGCTGGCTTTTTTATATCACCAGCTTTCATTAGGGCTTTAATAGCTCTTGCCCTCATCTCAAGTTCTAGCAGCTCCAGCTGCTGTGCAGAAGGCTGAACATCTTCTGGTGGAGGAACAGTCAGGGTGGCGGCTTTCGGTTCCTTTGGGCTAGACTCTGCCAGTCCCAGAATCTCATTCACACTTTTCTCAATGTCTTTCTCCAGGTCATCTATCTGACCAGCTTCACTTTGGACTGTATTTTCTGAGACCTCAGGAGCAGCTGCTTCTTCATTGCATGGGCCTTCTATGTCGCTGTCATAAGCATCTGCATTTATACTGAGTACATCACTATCTTCCCCTTTGCCTGTAACAAACAAAAAAAGGCAAAGAACCATGTAACCTAAATGCCCTGATCAAAATTTCCTTTCTGTTTATGATGAAAGGGCTGCTGTGACCCACACCTCCCACCATGGAGTCCCAAATACATTCCATAAACCCCATCCCAACCCCTGTTCCCCTGACTCAACTTCCTTCCTCCCCTCTTCCCTTCCTCCCTCTCTCCCTCCCCCCCGCCCTTTCTTTCCTCCCTTCCTTCCTTCCTTCCTCCCTCCCTCCCTTCCTTCCTTCCTTCCTCCCTCCCTCCCTCCCTCCCTTCCTTTTTTTTCCGCCCCCGCATAGATTGTGGGACCTTAGTTCCCTGACCGGGGATTGAACACAGGCCCCAGCAGTGAAGGCGCCGAGTCCTAACCACTGGACCGCCAGGGTTCCCCCCTTCAACTTTGAAAACAGATCTAATTTAATGTAAATTTTAATGTATTTTTCATTCCACTTTAGAAGAATATGGAAGCACTGGGAAATGTATACCATCATATGGATGTCCCTGATCAATTTTCCTAATTAAAATATCGTTATCTCTTTAGACCACAGTGAAGCCTCTACATTACAAAATGCTGACACCCTTTGGATAGAGTATAGCTTATTACTGAAGAAGCAAAATTCTATTTGAGAAGGAGTTTAAAATACTTTGCCTTATAAACTACAAAAAAGGAAAAATATCACTGGCAAGCTGGACACCATGCGCATTGCAATTATTTCAAAGCTTTTCATATACTTTTTCAAACACTTTGTTCTAAATCAATAAATTAAAGGAGAATGCCTAAGGCCACTTTCTAAGGTAAAATAACTTTTCACCAAGAGGATTTTAATTAATAAAGTTAGCATGCCATAAATTTTTACAGTACGTTTGTTATAAAACTTCTATAACTGATGCTAAGAACTTGCATATAAACACAGATTGTAGCCCTCAACCACCTTGGCCTGGACCATTACTGAAGTCCATGAGTTATTTACAACTTTGAGTGCTCCCTTATACCTCCAATTTATTTATCTTTTAAATTCCTAATATGTTTTTTAAAAAGAAAGTAATGATCCCCCAATTGTTAGCTTTGTTAGTTTTCTTGTAGTAGGAAGAACTTATTGACAAAATATAGATTGACAGATGGAAAATTCTGATAATAGAATGTACAAACAATTCTACTCCATGGATTTTAAAATAAATGATTTAGTGACCTTGATTCTGCTACACACCCTCTCAATGTTTCAAAGGAGAAAATTCTTTATGAAAAAACTTTTTTTGATTATATTTTCTATGGGTTTGTTTCAAACATTTTTAGAGGGCAGAGGTGGGGTTTGCTTTATTTTTTTAATCAGAAACAGCTATACATGTTATTCACTGAAGAAATGGGGCTCTATAAATTTGGTGTTCTCAGTTTACATTAAAAATTATCCAAATCCAAGTGACTGAGTTCTCTGTAGCACAGTATTGGTAAAAGCATTCACAAGTTCCATCTGCCCATTATACCTGCACCATGGATGCCAAAGCTTTGTAGAATCTGTACCTGAAATGATTTAGCATAAGCACTTCACTTCACAAATGTGAAAATAAGGTAAGTGATTTGTACAATGTAATCTGACAAACTATGTAAAGATCTAGGATCATACTTCAAGTCTTTTCACTATTTCTTAATTTTCTTCATTCTACTGACTCACTTTTAAAGTATAGCTTGCAAATATATGAATACATTTTCAAAGATAATTTACTCTCATCCTAAGTATTAGAAATAGCAGGTTTTTTTGTTGTCAATTATGATCCTCAAATCAGAAGGGGTATAACTTGTACACTCTTTCTAAAAAAGTAACTTTAACCTAAAATGCCTCATTCTAAGCCCTCAAAATGTCAGTGTGGTAAAGTTCTGTCCTTCCACACCCCCATTCTACATATGTGAAAATGTGTGTGTGTGCGCATGTGTGTTCACAGGGAAGTGAGTACACATTTAAATTATAAGAGAATTCTACAAAAGAGCATCTTCAAGTTTTTACATGGGCTTAGGAGTCTGAGAGTAACAAATCAATCTCAGGGAAATTGTGTGTACTCCTCTAAAATAAATAAAAACAGTTTTACTGTATGCATGATGTTAAAGTAAGGCTATTGAAATCCACCAAGAAAAATAAAAAGACGGGTCTGAGGTAAAATAATACAAATGTAATTGAAAATATTAAGAATAAGAATTCAGACTGTTGACTGTTAAAGACATTACAATAAAAAATGGCTCAGGTAAGAGAGCAAGCATAAAATTAGACCCAAATTACTGATGTCATAAAGCAGCAAAATAACTAAAGTAACTTAGATGTGGTATATATACAATGGAATATTGCTCAGCCATAAAAAAGAATGAAGTAATGTCATTTGCACCAACATGGATGAACCTAGAGATTATCATACTAAGTGAAGTAAGTCAGAGAGAGAAAGACAAATATCATATAATACCACTCATATGTGGAATCTAATTTTTAAAAAAAGATACAAATGAACCAATTTACAAGACAGAAATAGACTTACAGATATCGAAAACAAATTTATGCTTATTTACAACTTTGAGTGCTCAAAGTTGTAAATAACAAACTTATGGTTACCAAAGGAAAAAGGTGGGGGGAGGAATAAATCAGGAGCTTGGGATGAACATATACATACTACTATATATAAGATAAATAACCAACAAGGACCTACTGTATAGCACAGGAAACTACTCAATATTCATATTGAGTATGAATATAGGTGATAACCTATATGAGAAAAGAATCTATAAAAGAATGAATATATGTATATGTTTATGTATAACTGAATCACTCTGCTGTACACCTGAAACTAACACAACATTGTAAATCAACTATACTCCAATAAAATTAAAATAAACAAATTAAATTTAAAAATAAAGTAACTTTAAAATATACACAAAGAAACAAGAGGGTATGATATATTCCTTACTAGATTATATAAAAGAGCAGAATTAATGTAACATGGGTGGCCCTTAAAATACTACATACCATTTAGAGAACTTCAGAGAAAAAGCAGCATAACTAAAGAAATGAATCAAATAACTTAAGGGAAAGGACTAAAGGAGTTGAAGAATTTGGCTAAGGAACACAGAGTAGAGTTAAAATATTTTTCAGGGAAAAAGCAATACAAGGATTTATTGAGCATTCATCTCTTATGGTTGATCCCCTAGCCAACTACTCACAAATATACGTTCTATTCCATTTTCCTCTGATCTGGATACATTCATCATTTCTCTTTTCTTTTGTTTTCCTGCTATCTTCTGTGCTACCAACTTGATTCATACCCATCAAACTCTACCCAAGTACCAAAGCTTTTAAAATAACAAATCAATCCATCTAGATTCAGTATCTAGACAGCAAAATGAATCAATCACTATCTAAATTCATCACTAACACAGATGAATAAATGGAACAACTTATCAGAGAAAATATTTGTTTATACTATTTAATGAGGCATAGTTATAAACATGGGATAAAACCATAAAGGGAAAATATCTCACAACTAAACAGAACACCCAACACTCTTTAAATATTTTACTGACAAGGAGAAAATTTACAACTACAAAAGACTCAATCACTTTAAAATTAATATAGTTTCGGTATTTAAAAATGGGAGTGTACTACATAATAGAAAAGCTAAAATGCAATACCTGTATTTTTATTATCATCTATAACAAACCTCAATGCTTGAAAGCTACAGAGATTCCCCTAAGCTAGATAAAGGAAAACATTTTATGTTTTATGTTTGCTTTTTATTAAAATAAAAGTTTTAATTATCCAAAGTAAACAAACATAGAAGAATTATTAAATATTTTGAGTAATAAAAATTAAAAAGGACTTTTAAGTTATATTACATTTAAACCTTGATAGGGCCTATAGTATTCCACTTGCAAATAATTCAACATATCAGAATACTTTTAAGGCATAAAATGAAAGCATATCTAATGTTATGAGTAACTACATGCTTGTGAAACTTCTTGATAGTGAGTTATTAAATTAAGCCAAGAGACAAACCCTAGTACATGGAATAATTAAGTACCTGTCTGAATTCCTGATAAAGATGGCAAATTGAGCACACATATCTAATTCCTTTCCCTATCAAGAATCCACTGAAGTGACAGGAGAGATACTTAAAAATAATAGCATAAGAACTGTAAATTAGGACTTCCCTTGTGCCACAGTGGTTAAGAATCCACCTGTCGGGCTTCCCTGGTGGCGCAGTGGTTGAGAGTCCGCCTGCTGATACAGGGGACACCGGTTCGTGCCCTGGTCCGGGAAGATTCTACATGCCGTGGAGCGGCTGGGCCCGTGAGCCACGGCCGCTAAGCCTGTGCGTCCAGAGCCTGTGCTCCGCAATGGGAGAGGCCACAACAGTGAGAGGCCCGCGTACCGCAAAAAAAAAAAAAAAAAAAGAATCCACTTGTCAATGCAGGGGACAAGGGTTTGAGCCCTGGTCCAGTGAGATCCCACATGCCGCGGAGCAACTAAGCCCGTGCACCACAATCACTGAGCCCGAGCTCTGGAGCTTGTGAGCCACAACTACTGAGCCCAAGTGCCACAACTACTGAAGACCATGTGCCTAGAGCCCGTGCTCTGCAACAAGAGAAGCCACCCAATGAGAAGCCCACACACCGCAACGAAGAGTAGCCCATGCTTGCTGCAAACTAGAGAAAGCCTGCACACAGCAACGAAGACCAAACGCAGCCATAAACAAACAAACAAATAAATAAATAAATTTATAAAAAAGAAAAAAAAACTGTAAATTAACTGAGAATGAAAATAACAAACATCAGTCCTTCCTAAGTAAAATACAAAACGGAGAACCACAAAGGAAAAATATCAACAAACAAAGCTGAAAAAACGTAAGACTTCTGAGAAAGAAAATAGACTACAAATAAAATTACAAGACGGGGCAAACCTATAAGAAAATATTAGCAAAATACATTTTTTAACAGGACAAATGTAAGT